AGAAGTCTGCTGTAAGGGACCTCTCCAGAACGCTAAAGAGCAAAAATATAAGTTTAGAGACTAAGGTGCACCTGATCTAGGCCATGGTCTCTGCAATTATTTGCTATGCACCTGAGAGCTATACAATGACTAAGAAGGACAGAAAAAGTCAATGCCTCTAAGAGTGTTGGAGTACAGTTTGCTCCTTGGAGACAAGAATTTTGAAGCTCTATATCTTGTACTTTGGACATGTTGCCAGGAGGGACCAGTCCTTGGAGAACAATATGCTTGGAAGGATGGAGGGTCAGTGCAGAAGAGAAAGACCCCGGAAGAGTTGAAGTGACACACTGACTGTGGCAATAGGGGCAGGTATGTTAGAGACAGTGAGAGTGGCTCAAGATAGGGCAGGGTTCAGAGCTATTTTTCACAGGATCACTGTCAGTAGTAGTAGACTGAACAGCATATAACAGCACCAATAATACAACTACGGCCTACAACCAGAGTGTGGAGACTCATAACAAACTATACCTAACACTAAATGGAAATCTCAGAACACTTGCTAATGTTCATATGAAACCTGTATCTAGACCAAAAAGCTATTTTCTCAATAGAGTGAGGGAACACTGCATGGTTTAAAATTAATAAAATTGTGTTTTAGGGTTGTATCCTCTATCCATACCTAGTCAATCTGGACGCTGAGCAAATCATTTGGGAAACGACTTTATGAATAGGAATGTGGCATCAGAATCAGGGGTAGAATCCCCCGTTATGCAGATTACATCCTGAATGCTGAAAGGAAGGAGGACTTGAAACACTTGCTGCAAAAGATCAAGGACTTCAATATGAATTATATCTTAACATCAAGAAGACAAAACCCTCAACACTGAGCCAAAAGGCAAGCATCATGATAGATGGAGAAAAGACTTAAGTTGTCAACTATTTCAACTTACTTGGATCCACAATCAACACCCTTGGTATTAGCCATCAACAAATCAAAAAACATGCTGCAATCTGAGGGTCTGTTTAAGGACTTCTCCAAAATACTAAGTAGCAATGATGTCACTTTAAAGATTTAAGTGCTGCCTGATTCAAATCATGGTCTTTTCAACTATTTCCTATATATCTGAAAGCTAGACAAGGAATAAAGATTACTGAAGAATTTCTTCTTTTGAGTTGTGGTGTTTTCTAAGAAGAGTATAGAACATCCCATGGACTACCAAAGGAACAAGCAGTTATGTTTAGGAGAAAGTGCAGCAAGAGTGTTCTTGGAGGCAAAGATAATGAAGATTTGTCTCACATACTTTGGGTATCTTGTTAGGAAGGGCTATTCCTTGGAAAGAGACATCATGCTTGCAAAGGTGGAGGGTCAAGGAATGAGGAAGAGCCTTAAAGAGATGGATTGACAAGGTGACTGCAGAAATCTCAATTGATGAAGATGGTACAGGACAGGCAGGTTGGTTCAGAGGGTGACTATGGGTAGTGCTTGACTTAGGGGCATCTAGCAACAAAAATCACACAGGAGGAGATTGCTCATCTTTCTCCCACAGAGCAGCTGATGGATTTGAACCAGCCTGCTCAATTTGGGTTGGCAGCTCCTTACCTGTGAGGCCACCAGCATTCAAACCTCTGCCTCTGCAAGAGACCAGAATTAGACAGCACCTGGTTATCCCAACCAAGCATTCCAAGAAAGATTACATTACAAAGTCCTCGATAGACTGAGAGGAAAATATGGAATAAAACACTAAAGCACTAGGATGGTATGTACTTCTCATAATAATCAACCATTCAGGATCCAAAAGTTATGTGCACAAGTAAGAATGTTAAAAAGGGTTAAGAAATCCTACAACCAGGAGAAGATAAAATAGATGAATGGGACCTTCTAAGAATCAAATGCCTGTGCACATCCAAAAACTTCTCCAACAGGGTAAAAAGGGAAGCCACAGATTGGAAGAAAAGTATTTGGTAATGACATATCAGATAAGGGACTTATTTAGAATTTATAATATACTTGAGCCCCACAAGATAAAGGTAAATAATCCAATAGAAAAATGGGTACAGGATATGAACAGACACTTTACGGAAGAGGACATTCAGATGGCTAACAAGCACATGAAGAAATGTTCTAAATCCCTAGCTTTAAGAGAGATGCAAATCAAAACAACTATGAGGTATCATCTCACCCCAGTAAGAATAGCAAAATTTAACAGAATAGCAAACAACAAATGCTGGCGAGGTTGTGGAGAAACCGGAAACCTTTATTCACTGTTGGTGGAAGTGTAAAATGGTGCAACCACTGGGGAAGGCGGTATGGCACTACCATAACTGACATCCAAGCAGATAATATGCACACCCATGTTTACCACGGCTTTGTTCACACTAGCAAGGAGGTGGAAACAACCTAAGTGCCCATCAACAAACGAATGGATAGAGAAGCTGTGGTATATTCACAAAATGGAATTCTACGCGGCATTGAAAAACAAGGAACTCATGCAATATTATTCAAAATGGGTGAGCCTGGAGGACATTATGCTGAGTGAAGTATCTCAGTCACAAAAGGACAAATACTGCATGGTGCCACTGTTGTAAAACAGGACTGACCTTGGGGTTGGAGAGAGACTGAGAAAGATGGATTCAATAATGTATACTGCATTCAAACAGATGAGGGAGAAAACGGTTTAAAAGGGATATGTGATTTGGGTATTTTTGTCATGACAAGAGTCCAGACTGAAGGCTGCATAGTGGAGTGGACCTGAGGGGAAGGACTGTAAAACAATGAAAGAATTTGTCTTTAACTTTTCCAAGAGGGTAGTGCGTGTGTGGGGGGGGGGGGTGTAGAAAAGTGCAACAAGGAATGAATGGAAATCAAAGTCTCTGCAAATTTTCATTGAAATTAATAAATTTTTTTTTAAGGGTTAAGAAAGAAGGAATAGAAACAAGAAATGGGAGAGGAAATGAGATAAGGGTGAGGACTGCCCTCAATGACAAGACAGAATAAAATGTGTATGAACTCTGCTGAATTGGAAACGGATTTGCTCTGAAAACCAATTCACAATAAAAGGTTAAAAAATAAAATACACTGCCAGTAAAATACAAATGGCTCAAATTACACATACACATTTATAATTATTTATATAAAATACCCTTGGTTTTAATAAGACTTCCAGAGAACATTATATAAAACCCCAAACTGCTAAGCAGGAAAACACCTTCCTAGCTGTTCATAACAATAATATGAAAAGTCTATTAACTGACTGTACATATAACAATAATAAAGTCAATAGCAGTAAAAACAATACGAACAATGGTAAAAACTTCCACACAAGAGGTAAATATGAATTTAATTACCAAAGAGTTTACATTTTTTTAAAAATGTCAACTCTATATTCAAATGAATACTCAAAGCACTGATGACTACTCTAACCTTGTCCTGACTCCCCCCAAAAGTGATGCTACATAGATCAAAAGTACATTTTACCACCACCACAATACTACTACAGCAGTGCACTACTTCTCTTCTAATGAGAAAGTGATGAAACTGCTTAAATCAATGAAAAGCAAAGAATTAATTTCATAACTACTCCCACCTGAAAATGTATACCTATTACAAGTCATGTTCCTTCAATACAGACTCTTCGGTTACAAGATATGCTTAACCTAAAGAAACCCTAGGGAGCTTTATTTTTGTAAATCTTTCACTCGAATTTCAAGAACGATCACATTATCACTACTTATCACTTATCACTAGCGTTCTCCAGAACAAATAAAAGTCAACCTTCGCAAGCCTTTGGCTTTGATACACATTCTTTTCCTAGGCCCTTTATTACTAGCCTTCTAAAGACTTTCTAATAGCTTAACAGGAAGCAATGCCACAAATTAAGTATAAATGCTTAGCCAACTCTGAATACTGGAAACAGAATGATTTCTTAATAGTCAGTGGCTACACATGACCTAGGATCTTATGATCAACTTGTTAAGGGACTGCCCCCAACTCCCTCCCTCTCCTAGTTAACTACAAGCTCCAGCCAATTCTCAAAGTTTAACAGGAAGGAAGAAGGAAGTAGGCAGCAGGCAGAACTATGTGAATCTTCTCATAGCAAACACTTAAACCTCCTCATGAACTATCAAAAGAGCACCCACTTTGTCTCTTAAAAAGGACCTCATCCATGGTAACTATTTATTAACCTTATAGTTCGACAAATGATTATCTACTTTGCCAATACTTTGAAAAGACAATTTTTTAATTTTTTTTTAAAAGAAAATTACAGCAAAGGTCTATATTTCCTTCCCTGGACTCCTGCCTGCAAGATATTTTATTATTAAATAATGCTGCTCTTCTGGGACCAAAGATCGGTCTCCATTATGACACGTTCCAAGTTATTATGAATGTTTCCTGTCCTACCACGTGTCGATTAAATAGCGCTTTCGAGAACTGGGGTAGGGGATGAGGGAGAAATAGTGTGAAAGTCTTCCTCATTCATCTCTCTTCATAGCTATCCAAGTACACCCTCTACCCACCTAAAGATATCAGCACCCAGAAGAAATGCCCGGGCGTCAGCCTAAAAGAGCAGCGTAAGCGGAACCCCAAACCCCATACACTACTGGGCATCTCCGGACTGAGCTTGTTTGGGGGGTGTTCGGTTTACACCGCCCCTGAGCCGAGTTGTTCTGACATCGCTCTTGTCCAACTCAGATTCCAACACCCGGAGCAGCTGCCGTCCTGGGTCCCAACATCGGCGCGCATCCCGCCTCGCAAACTGTACCTCCGGCTGGCACACGTCTCCCCCACCCCCTGCACCCGCCAAGCCAGCGGGCAGCCCGGCAGGACAGTCCCCGTCGGCCCCCACCACACCCCTGCCGCGGGCACTCCTGCGGCAGGACTCAGCCCTGCACCCCGGCTCATTCCGCAGCCCCCGCCCCGGGACGGTCCGTGCCTCCCCGCCAGCCCCACCCCGCGCCCTCCGCTCGCCTCCCAGCAGGTGAGTCCCGCAGCCGGGGTCTCCCAAGTCCCGCGCGGAGCTCACCTTGCTCAGGATTCCGCAGCGCTCCACAGGCGGCCCGGACTCCGTCTCCGGATCCTCCTCGGAGCCCGACGAGTTCCAGCTCTGGTTATCCGACATGGAGGCGCGACAGACAAGCAGGAGACCGGCCTC